TGAAGAGGAGGCTTGTGCCTTCAGAATTCATCTCTGGGCCATTATGCAAACTCTCCTTTCAAAGGCTCACTCCACAGGCTCCATGAGACAGAGTCAAAAGCTATACACTGGAGAGGCTGGGGGGGGGGAACTGTCCTGAGTCTGAGACCAGCCTGGGGGTAGATAGAGAGACCCAGCCTCAAAGACAAAGACAAAAACAAGAAAAACGAATAAGCAAACAAAACCCAAAAAATAAAACAGTAACCACAAAGCATGTAGTCAACATAATAGATATATTATGCTTTCATGTACTAAATATGGAATGCTCTGTACCATAAAAGCACACACACACAAAGATCCTTTCTTTCTGGCACTCATAATAAATAGTGCCAGGCCATTATAGGTTTAACTGCATGTGAACGTGAGAACGCATGGTCCCCAAATCTTACTGCTAATAAATGATGTAAAAGAAATGTCAGTGGCTCCAAAGTTGCAGTGTGCTTTGATGCACTTTGATTCTCCAGCTCTATTATTTCTACGCTCAAGTTCATCTCAAATAGCATAGAAACCAGGAACTGTTTTTTTTTTTTAAATCTCTGCAAATGTTTACTGATGATAGAAAGTTATAGATAGTTTTCAGAAATTATGGCTCATAATTAAAGTTAGAGTTAGCATGTGGGCTAAAGCTGCAACCCCAGTAACCCTAGAATAAGGCTGTATTTGAGACAGTAGGGGCCTTTAAAGAGGTGAATAAGTTAAACTGGGGTCATTAGGTGGGACTCTGATCTAATATAACTAGTGTCCTTTCACGAAGAGGAGAGGAGAAGAGAGGAGGGGAGGAGAGAAAAGAGGAGAGGAGAAGAGGGGAGAGAAGAGCTGGGGAGGGAAAAGGAGGGGGAAAAGAATGGAAGAAGAAGGGAGGGTAGAGGAGAAGAGAGAAGAGAAGAGAAAAGGGGAGAGAAGGGAAGGGGAGGGGAGGGTAGGAGAGGAGAGGAGAAGAGGGACACCATCAGGCATGGATGAACAGTGCTGTCACACCAAGAATTAGCTCAGTGGTAGAGTGCTTGCCTAGCAAGTGCAAGGCCCTGCCTGGGTTTGGTCCTCAGCTCCAGGATGGGGGGTCGGGGGGGGGGGGCAAGCTTAGGAAGACAAAAAAGTCTGTAGACCTTGGACTCCAAGCCAACATGTAGACATTTTGACCTTGGGCTCAAGCCTCAAGGGGTGGGGGAAAATAAATTTTGTCTTTAGAGTACTCAGGTTTTGGTATGGCAGCCTCGGTCAATCCAGTACAACAAATAACATTTTGGAATGGAAATAACATCTGAGGCAGCAGCTTGATAATTAAAGTGCCTAAATGTTTTTCACCATGTTAAGTAATAAAATAATCATCCAAGGGTGGAGACTTCCGGACATTTTTTTTTTCCCTTGGAAGATTAATAAGTAGCTGAGAGTAGCAAAAAGTCTAGTGCCTATGAACATCCGTTTTTCCAGGTAAAGTTCCCACCTCTATTTCACTAGGCTCAGGGAGATGAGATAATGTATCAGAAACTGAGCACCACCTCAGCCATCTCTTTAACATCGAAAGTGACAGGCCCTGTTCACAGGAAGAGCCTCAGCATGACCTGCTAAGAATCTGACCCTGTTCAAGGCCTTCCTCCTGAAAACCCAAAACCTGAAGCCCCAGGCTAAACCTAAGAATAAATATCAGCCTTAGGCTACAGAGCAACATCTATCAGCCTTTGGCTATAGAGCAAAATCTAGGAGTGTTTAAGTGTGGCATTAAATCCTCAAAGATGTCTGGATCATCAGCAACATGGAATGCCATTCTGGACCCCAAATAGGATCCTGGGACAGATAAGGGAGATGGGTAAAAGCTAAGAATGTGTAAATCATGGTAAGACAGGTTCATCCACCGCAACAAACACAGTAACAGTGAGGAAATCTAAGGTACCTGTGGGAAATTGTCATAACTTTTCTGTAAATCTGAAACTGACCTAAAAGCGTAGTTTTTTTGTTTTTTTTTTTTTTTGTTTTTTTTTTTTTTTAACAGTGCCTCCCTATGTGGCTCTGGCTGGCCTGCTACTCCATATGTAGACCAAGATTGCCTTAAACTCATAGAGATCCAACTGCCTCTGCTCCCCAAGTGCTGGGATTAAAGATGTGTCCTGTGAATTTTGCGTTTTTAACGCTGGTGAAATGAACTAGAATTTTCCCGACTGCCACAGAGGCCAAGCAGGGTCTAGTTTAAACAGTTATGCATCCCCAGAGACTACCGCTCTGCAAGCTCTGCTTTAGTTTCTGAGGTGACAGTCTTTGAAGCACGCCTACTTATTTAATATTTGGTGTGGCTATTATATTATTTCCTGGTAGATTCAGAAGTATACAACTTGACAGTCACAACCCTCTTATCACATTGCCAGTGAATAACCAGATAAACTTGAGAATAGCTCACTATCTTCTCTGTGGTTATGACAGCCTGGCACTCATGGGACGGGACAAAGTCCTCATTCAGGAAAGATGTGTAAAGCAGTCACCACTGTCAATAAAACCTCTCATGCCTGCCCAAGACTACAGGCACTGGGGGCATTTTTTGGTTCTATAACTTTATAAACTCCTCATTTGCCCTCTGGCACTGTTCCCTCTGCTTTCCTTCACAGTGAACATTTCCTAAACTAAATCTGAATCTACATTTTCCATATCTGATTTGAAATCTGGAATGGATGTTTACTATTGTTAAAATACAACTTATTTATTTATTTTTATCTTTAAGTTCAGGTCTACATAAGACAAAATAATGAACTATTTGGACTGTTGGTGAAATCCATCACCAAAAATCACACCTGATCATGTAAGCAAGTCTGATGTTCATTCATGAGTGAGTCTTACTTTTGTTCTGATTTATACTAGAACAATAAGATTGATAAAAGGCAGTGGAGAAAGAACTCACATTTTGAATGACATCTTTTGTTTGTTTGAGTCAATATTATGCTAGTTGGTATTGCTTTAGTAAGTAAAATATGAATTGTGGACCTCACCCCTCTGGCTTAGCAATCAAAATATTGAGGGATAATAGTTCTTTCTTTTCTTAACAAAATGAAAACTTACAGGTGTCTTTAAACTCTGGAAAGCACCACATACAAATAAATTTATAGATAAACAACTAAAAATCCTTCCTAAAACAATATTTAAAAATCATAGTTCAGCGCTTGTTTTTTTTTTAATTTAAATAAAATCATTTTTAAAGGGACAGAGAATTCTGATAAAGATTATGCCATCATACAAACGGGCACAGGGAAATTGACCATCACGCAGAACACAGACACCATCTGCAATTTTCATCGTCCACATTTACTCTGAAGCTCAGGAAACATTTGGTGAAAACTACCTCCTTCAGGGAAAAGAGTGAGTCTGGGGGTGCCGCTCGGTTGCACAGTGCTTGCCTAGAATGAAGCAGGCCCTCGGTCCTGTCCGGAGCATGATAAAACAACACAGGCAACGTGATGTGGAGTTTCCTCATGTTTCACCACACGCCTCTGGACTCGAAGCATCTCCCTGCGTAGCAACCCAAAGCTTGTTTTATGCCTCTAACGTGTATAGTGAACCTTTGCTCGTGATCTTTTCTTCAAAAAACCAAATCCTTGTGTTAAACAGCTACCTCCAAGTTCCTTAAAGCTTAAGTTCCCCCCCCCCCCCCAAGCTTCTGAAAATGCGGCTACTTTAAGATGTGTCTCTGCCCCACTAAAGACACACTCCTGGTGGGGCCCTTTCCAGTGCAACCAGCAGGTCTTGAAGTTCTAGGTTCGACATTCCACAGCCATAGTAACATGAATATTCACAGAACCATCCAACTGCTTCATCTCCTGGGGAAAATCCAGCTGCTTCAACTCCTGGGAAACCATCAAATTCTGTAGTTGATTTAAACTTCTGGTTCCATATAAATTTAAGCATATTCCTAACAAGTAGCTTGTCTTTTCAAATTAAGATCCCTTATTAATTAAGTCCTCAAAAATTACCTGTGTGTTCCATCTGTAGTAAGTCAAATGATATGAGTGGGCATCATGGCTTAAAAAAACCCATAGAAAGATTATTATTTCATTTCAGGGGCTCAGTGAGATTTCCTGACCCTGCTTGCAAATTGCCCTTACACAGGTGGTCTTCAAAGAGCTATGGCCAAAGAATCAGAAAGTTAACTCATTTATCCAGTTAGCTTATTTTTCTCTTCGACTTGAACTTCCAGTTGAAGGAACAGAGGTGGTAAAGACTAAGTAAGGAAAGAATTTGCAATACCCTCACGGGTTGAGACTCCACTGAGATAAATGCTTGTGATGGCTCCTGAAGGTGGGAAGAACTTGGGCCTGAAACAACCACTTCACAGATAAGAGAATGGGGCGGGGATGGGGGCAAGAGAGACACATTCTCATCATCCACACCTGGAAGAGGTCCCTGGGGAATCACCGACTCGAAGTTCAGTGTGTTCAAAGGATATTCTCTACCGCTATGTAACTCAAGAAACACAGAATCTTTTTTCCCCCCATGCTCATTTCAAGGACGCTTTCAACTTTCCCTATGAATAGCACTCTTTTGTTCCTGGTTCATGTCCTATACCTACAGCCAAGTATATCCTTAACCATCACAACTCCATTATTTAATGTCAAAGCATTTACTTAACATGAGTCTGATGTCTGACAGTCTAATGTGATGGAAGCTCAAACCATATCAATTTAAATCATTCCCTCTGCAGCCCCTCTCCTCTGCACCACTCTGTCCGCTTCTAGGGGCTATTTAATCAGCTGCCATTCTCAGCACTAAGGGAATCTCTTAAAAGAGTCAAGCAAGTTGCTCCGATTTCAGCCAACTAGAAATCCTGGTCCAATATCACGACAGGTATTTCTCTCTCTCTATAGTTTTCTTTTCTTTTTTTCTCTTTTTTAATGCCCAGAGATCAAATGAAAGCTCCAGTATGAAAAGGCAAGGCTCAGGTTAGAGGGCTTGGCCACCCCGTTACACCTGTCACTCTTTACCTGTCTGTAAGACCAGAGTTCTCTCCTCTCCATCCAGAGAAACAATCCTGAAGTTATAGGTGGTCCCTGCTTGTAAATCCTTGGGGTCACATCCATAGGTGGTGTTGTCTGTCCGGAAGGGGTGGCACCACAAGGGCCCTGAGTTGTCACTGCTGTAGATGAGGCTAAAGTTACAGGCTGGCCCAAACGTCCTCCACTGGATAGACGCTGCCGAGCTGGAGACCCTGGACTCCAACACGGTGAAGTTACACTTCGCCACCTCTGCCACGCCAGTCTGCAAAAGAGTCAGAGAGCACAGAGTAAGTCCAAGGTCTGCGCTGCCTAGGGATGTCCGCAGCGACCTCCCACAGCCACCTGTCCCCAGCCCTGGAGCCCAGCATGAGTTTGTCCTCTCACCCTCCAGCCCACAGGGGAAGTGGATGGCAGACAACTTTCACCCTAGTCGCTCCACCTCCCCCAGGAGCAGCTGGAGACAGAAGGTTACTTTCTTGACAGCAGGGTGAGCTGTCAGTTTGGTGGGCGGCAGGGTTTCTGGAAAGGGTGGTTCTCCCACACAGGGACAAGAGATTTCTGTTCCTTTTCTCCCAGAGGGAGGCTGGGAACAGGCTGGATTCGGTTCTCCGCGGGGGAAAGGAGCATCATCCCCCTCCACCCCCCAACCCTGCTCTGCCGGCTCACCTGCAGAAGGTTGAGCGTGATCCCCAAGGCCAGTACGGCTCCATGGTTCAGCATCTCGCTGGGAGGACAGCCGGGTACCACTTGTTGAGCGCTCAGCGCCCCCCGCGGGCGCGGCGCGCTCCCCTCGGGGCTGGAGTCGCGCAGGGGCCGCGGCAGCCGCTGCTTCTGCTGCCGCCCCGGACGGGCTGCGGACGCGACAGGCGGCGGGGGCCCGCGGCGCGCGGCCCTTCCCACGCTGCCATTCTGACCCGCGCTGCCTCGCCCCCAAGCCCCGTCCGGGACTTCCGCAATCAAAAGGCAATTTCCTTGTCTCCCGGCAAAGGAACAATGCTCCGGAGAGGGAGGGAGCCCCGAGGAGCCAACGCCTGAGGCTGCCAAGGGGGCCTGAGGCCAGCCAAGCTGGCCCCCTTCCTCCGCTGCCGCCACCCCAGCCAAGGGTCCCTTCTGGGGGCGTGGGGGCGGGGGGCTCCGCCTTCTCCTCCTCGGCTTTCACTTTTTCCTTCTCAGTGGTCCTCAGCCTTGTCAAATCCTTAAATAGTGCTTGAGCCCTCTCACTTTTCAGCCCCCCCTCTCCTCCCCATCCCAGCGCCCCCCTCCCTATCTTCCTTCCTATCTTTCTCATCTGCTTTCTCCAAGGGCCTCTTTTTCCCAGGCTTAAACTTGACCGGAGCACATTTCCCTGGGTCGCCCACACTCTTTCCTGAAGCCTTTTATTGGAGGGCCTTAGCCCTTCTCACCTCAAAACACTCATTTGTCACAGGACACATCCTCTTGGCATCGGCTGGAGAGAAAAGACCCGCGAAGAGCCCGCCCATCATCAATAGCACCTTTATTTCTCCTTCCACCTTTACCATGTCTCTTGCTCAGGTCCCTGTGCTCCCTAAATCTTAGGCAAATCCTGTGAACCGACGGCAAAATAATCACCACCAACGTGCTCAAGCCCTAGACGGCAGCTCCACCGCTGATTACCCTCGTGATTCTCCAGCCCACAGAAGAAAGCAATTTTCAGCTTAGCTCAGCGGGAAACACTCCTGTAACCGGGCTTCCCACACCTTTCAAAGTTGCCGTAGTGTTTTCCACGCCAGCTGCAAGCACATTAGCAACTGTCCTATAACCTGAAGAAACGCGTGTCTAAAAGTAGGTCAGTGGGGGGAGGGGAAGAAAAACAAAAAACCCTCTATCACCCAAAGCAAAAGTACTAAATAGGAATGATAGCAAAACGTCGCAGCCACTGTGATAGCTGTCAAGTTTTGAGGCGCTTAGCAGAAGACATGACCCCCACTGAAAAGACTAAGATAAGGCAATTCTGTTCCGATTCCATTTTTCTGTTTGCTTAAGATTGTTCTTAGCCCTCTCCTTACAAATGTCATGTCTGCTTTGGCAACACAGTTGAGATTTCCACTCCTTGTCTATGGTCCAGATGTATTAACCAAAATAATTGGCAAGTTATGTCTAAAATGACTACTATGCTCTGGCAGGAACGAACATTTCAAGGTTCTCTGATCCTCATCTAACTTTGATGTATCTTTGTGGTGTTTGTCTTTTAAAATGCCCATTCCCTGAGCTTGGGCGCCATGAAATTTTTGAGAAGCGTGAGTTTGCTCTTGGTCTGGCCATTGATAAAGGACTCAGAAGTCCTAACAGGCTTCATCAGGGTGGCTGCCAATAACTATCTCTCATGGATCATTACTCCACATTTCAGGTCATGAGGAGGAATAAGACATGCACCCCGACCTCGTATATAATACGGCGTAGATAAACATGTCCCCCGCTGCTCCAAGTCCACTAGACTTAACTAGGGAGAGCAGAAAACTTGAAAAAAGTGACAATTACTTCAGTTCTCTTAGAAAACATGCTCGCCACTATTTCTCCATGAAAAATGGAATTTGTTCCCTTTCAGAGACCCCCGGCTTTTAGGAGCAGCTACAGACATGTGTAAAATCATCCTTGCAAGTCAGTGGGCACACACCAGGCACCTGTATGCACTGGGCGAACGCAGCATTTCCTCTTTCTTCACCGGGGTTGCTTGTCTTGCTAGCATGTTCTCATTCTCTGTGCTTTCACCCAGCACCCTCCACAACCTGGCAGGCCTTCCTGCCTTGTCCTCAGAGCCACATCTCTCCTCCATTAGCTCTGTGCTTTGTCACAAGCACCAGCCGCCCTGAGTCTTGGCAGGCTCTTCTCAGCGCGCTCTTCTTCATCATTACCCTTTTCTCCCCTTTCTGCATTTGGAAAGCAAGGCTACCTCAGTTGAAAAAGAACAATGTTCAAAAGGCTCCAGAGGGAGAGCTACTGTAAAGTTACAAACGTGAAAAGCGACTTTGCAAACCTTATTTGAACCAGTGCTAGACTGTCCAGCATCAGGTGCATCTAAATCATTTTATTTTATTTTATTTTTGATTCTCTTTTTTAGATTTACTCATTGCATAGGTCCCACTTACTAATTCCTGATGTTTATGCTTTTCCTTCTCATTTTCTCTGGTACTTTGAATTTTTCTGATTGATTTTCCTATTTGCAGGCTTTCCCCTTAAATATATACTAGATATTCACTGCCCTCTGGGAATCCTCGGTAGATCCTGTCTTTCAAGCTCTCTCTCTCTTTCATACACATGCACACATTCATGAACATGCTGCATTCTTTTTTTACCAACTTTAGCATATCTAATAATCCTTCCTTATGACTTAGACGAATATACCTGAAGACATTTGAAAAGAAACAAACAGGACCGGGACAAAACATCTTCCCAAATCAGTGCTTAGATGCTTCCCAGTTAATAGGGACCTGACAAGAGTGCACCTAGCAACAGGAGTCTGGAAAATAAGAAGTTGTGCCTTTAAATCCATATTTACTCGTGAGCTATGGAAGATGAACATATGTATATACATACATACAAATATACATAATAACTGAGTTTAAATCGTTTCTTAATATCCTCAACATAGTTGAAGAATCATATCATTAATTGATGGAAAAGGCCAATAGTTACAAACATTTCTTTTCCAAAGCTATCTAATTGCAGACTTTGAATTTATTAGTATTTTATCATTATCATCTTAAGGCTGATGACAGAGCTTCCAATACTTTGTGGTTCTAAATAGCCCATAAAAATTAATAGATAATGAGACAATAGGGACAACTAAAGCCACTAGGGCTTATAGGTGCTGCAGAGGGAGCTAAGCAGTTAAAGGCACCTACTGCTTTTCAGAGGACCTGGGTTTAGCTCCCAGCACCCACGTGGTGAGTTATAAGGTCCTTAACTGCAGTTCCAGGAGATTGGAGGCATCAGGCATGTGTGTGGTGCAGATGGCATAACTGCAAACAAAACACTCACACACATTTAAAATAAATAAAGTTTTAAAAAAATTGAGATTTCAGCTACAGTGTTAATAGGCAAATATGGCTACCGGTTCCAGGAAGCAAGGACACTGAAGTCTTCTTTTCCATGGTGAGTTTATGAAGCTGTACAAAGTATAAATACGTTGACTCGTTTCTTATTTGCTCCCTTTGTTTGAAATTCCACAACTGCCTTTGAGCTCATTGTCCTATAATACACTCCTGCATTTACTTTAGAAGTCACTGCATTCCAGGAATGGGGATCAGTCATTCTGCACCCTGCCAGCGGATAACCTTTTCTCCTTGTAGTCAGGAAGCCTTTCCCAGACTCCACAGGAAGGGTGTGGCTGCTTCTGACTAGACATCAATGACTGAACAGTTGTCTTTCAAAAAAAAAAAAAAAAAGTGATAAAGACTCATGCTGACGATCCTGCTTGAGTTAACACAGTCATTACCTACCAACATGGATGTTGTTACATTATGAACATAAGCACTGAGTTTTACGTCAGTCACCCTGGGGCCAAGAACCACTGTTTGGGAATGGCGACTTTGTATAGTTTTTCATATTTATTTGCTTATCCTGCAGAGAGTAATTTAAAGATGTAAGCACACAACTCTGTAAGAGGTATGTAAGGCAAGGTGTTCAAGGTCCTGAATACAGGATCCACCATCCGCATGGGGCCAGGGACATGTCACCCTCCCAGCACAGGATGCTTTCCTTGTCACCTTCCTGGAAAGCCCCTGACCTCAGGCACTTGCCTATTTTATAGAGATTTCATGAAGGAGGGCTGGTTAAATCACTGGCCCTTGGTCATAAGCTCAACCTTCATGCCCTTCCCCTTCCACGAGACCCCTTCTAAGCCACTCACTGATCCCCCCAGAATCCTCACCAGCATTAAGTGTTTTCACTAGGGCTTCTAAAAACCACTTTATCCAAACAAGCCCGAGTGGGGTTGAAAAACCACTGTGTGCTGCTTTTATCCATTTGCAGCTGTTTCAGGGATCTAAGTCAAATATTTCTTACAACATATATTTTATTATTCTAGTGGTATAAGAAATTACAAGGATTATAGGAGCCCTGAACCAGGAGCAGTGGATAATAAAATCCAAAGAACAGATGTCCCTCTGGACTTTAAGCCCAGCGAGGCCATCTGTGGTCCACTGGTCACTCCTGTACACATGTTTCTGTCACCGGGTGATAATGGCTGGGGTAGAGTTGGGATGGACGTTTGCACACCCCCAAAATGTGGGTTGCCTCATA